ATGGGGCCGCCGGGGCCGCCAGGGCCGCCGGTGCCGCCGCCGGTGCCGCCGGTGCCGGGCGGGAGGAGGGACAAAGGCGGCGAAGCGGAGCCCGAGCTCCCGGCCCCTTTAATGCTCTGGTTGGCCGCGTCTCCCCAGCGCCGGCCGCACCGGCCACGCGTGTCCGGCCGCGCCCCGTGGGGGGGTCCCGGGGGGGCGGCTCAGCCCGGCGGCGGCACCAGAGGCGACCCCCCCGGGGTGTCCCCGCAGCGTGTCGCCACCCCACTCGGGGGTGCCGCACGCCCCCCCTCCACATCCCCACCCCCTCCTTGCTCTGCCTGTCCCCAGAGCTGTCCCCAAATGTCCCTCGGTGCCCCCCGGTGCCCCCTCAGTGTCCCCCCGCTCCGGCGCGGTGCCCGGCGAGGCGGCTCCCGGTGGGGGGGGCCGGTAACCCGAACTGCCCTCATGACATTTTGGGTGACCCCCCCTCCCCTAGACCGGGCCCCGCACCCGGGGGGAACCCCCGCAATGCCCCCAAAATCGAGGCGGGTCCTGCCCGGCTTGGGCCGCCCGTGAACCCCCCGGGAATTGGGAACTGGGGTGGGGGGCACGGCCGTGCCAGGTCCCGCGCCCCACCCGCCCCTCCTGCGGCTATTTTGGGGCAGGGACTGGGTGCCAGCGCGGCTCGTTGGTGCCACCAGGAGCTGTCCCCGCCGCTGTCACTTCAGCTGGAGACAGGGGACAGAGTCGGCGGGGGGGAGTGGGACAGGCCGGAGACTCTCCCGGGCCTGGGAATTCTGCCGGCTTGGGGAGYGGGAGGGGGCACGGGAAAATTGGCACAGGGTGGGTAGGGGGCCCGGGGTCACCTGAGGCTGCTCCAGGCCTTGCAGGGGATGCAGGGCTGCGCATCCAGGGATTTGGAATCCCTCTGGAAGATCCCTGATCCTGTCCCTCAYGGAGAACGGGGGGTTTCACAGGGATTTAGCAGAGCAGGTGGCATTGATGCACTCCCGTGTCGTGGGAATTGCGACGTCCTSGGCGGCATCCCTGCCTGTGTCCCTGCGAGATTCCCTGCCTGTATCCCAMCCCCCACCATTCCCAGAACCCCCAAACCTGCTGGAAACGGAGCTGAGATTTTGGGAATTGGGATAGGGGGAGATCCCCCACGGCAGGGGGAAGCGCCAGGTCCTGGCAGAGCCCCCAAAATCTTGGGTTCTGCGCAGGGGAGCGGGATGGGGACAGGGGTGGGGCGGGGGATAAAGGGGGGGATGCGGGATAAAGAGCGGGGTGGGAAGAGGAATGGGAGCGGGATGGGGAGCGGAACGAAGGAGAGCAGTGGGATACGGGATAAAGGAGCCGAGCCGAGCCGTGAGGCGGCTCCCGGATAATTTCTCTGGTTCACGGAGCGCTCCGGGATCGGGCGGCCGCCGGTCCCACCCCCCCACAGCCCGAGGGTCAGTCCCGACCACTCCGCGGGGATGGGGTGGGGTTGGGACCCCCGGGGGAGAAGCGGCTCCGGCTCGGTCGGGTGCGAAACCGGGGCTCAGCCCCTCGGGGTGCGGGGTCCCAAGCGCGGTGGGAGGGGTCCCCCAAACCCCCCCGGGGCTCCAGGACAGCGCAGGATGGGGACAAGAGCACCTTCCCCCGCCCAGCACGGGGACAGCAGTGGGTGCAGAAGGGACGGCGCAGGGCTGGGCTCGGCCACGGGGTGGTGGCCCCCAATTGTCACGGGGAGCCCAGCTCAGAGGGGACACGGGGACCCCCCTGCGGCGCTGGCGGTCATTTTTAGGGTACAGCTGTGAGCAGCGGAAGGGACCGAGGAGGGGTGGGCAGGGGACAAGCCCGGCAGGTGCGGGCAGAGGGACCCCGAGGGGACCCGGGAGGCGCCGGGAGGCGCCGGGAGGAAGCGACCGCTCCTGGGGCTCCATGGGCGCACCGCCATGTCTGCCCAGTAACCAATCAGGAGCCGAGTTCACCGCTGAACCCGCCCCTCGGCGGGTGTGGACCAATGGCGTGCGGCGGTGGGCGGGGCCAGACGGGCTCGCGGGGAGCAGCGGGAGCGCGG